CCGGGTTTCAGAAATAATTTGTTGCCAGGTGTAGACGGGAGAGCGCTGGTTGGTGGCGTTTATCGCTGAAGAAAGGGTTTCTTCTTGCTGAGAAATGTGAGTATGTACAGCAGATAAGGAAACGTGATTTTCTATGAGGACATATGTGCGGGAGATTTCAAATTATCTGCAGGGGAGAGAACCAACCAAGACGTCGCAGTAGAAAGATCCAACAACTACCCCAGCCCACCTGGAGTCCCAGGGGTCATTAATGAATAATTGGAATGTGTACCCATCCTGCCTGCTCCCAACCCGCTGAAAGATTTGGTTGTTTATTCGGGGCACCTTCGGATCATGAATCCGACACGACCAGTATGGGCATCCCCCGTAAGTTTCCGGCCACCAGTGACAATAATCTTTGGTTTGATCAAAAAGAAAGCATAGATATGGGTATGAGGCTTGAGGGATTAATTTACTCCCCGTAAGGGGGATGGTAATGAGACTTCGGCATCCAGCTAGAGAACAGTCCGCCATGGAAGGGAGTAGTTTGGTGGTTTTACCTTGTTTCCCTGTAAGAGTTTCTCGCACCGTGAACCGCCAAACGTACAGGGCTTTAGAGGCACCTACTAGGCACAGTAAGAGAAACAGGATAACGTTAACGGGGGTGGTCATTGTTCCTGTAATGGAGGGAGATTTGGGAGTCTGGATAAACAGAGTTTGAGGGGGTTAGAGGGATTAGGAGTGCAGGCAAACGTTTCAGTTTCTTGAAAGGGTGTGTCTCGAACTTGCAGGGTATGCATAGGTTCTGCAGAATCTGCTGGTGAAGCCGGGAAGCAGGGTTTTAACCTAGAAATATGGATCCATGGAGTTACTTGGTTGTTTAGTAGGGAAAGCTTGGCAGCTGTGGGAGTGCAAAGAATGACTGGGCAAGGGCCTTCCCACTTAGGAGTTAAAGGACCTTGTGGCTCTGGGGGGGTGTAGAATATTAAATCCCCAGGGTGTACTGTGGAGGTGTTTTGGGAGGAGGTAGGATTAGGCAATAGCCACTCCTGGTGTTTCCAGAGTTCACCTTGAAGATGGGAGAGTAACGGGATAGCTAGGTTGGAGGGTATGGTTTCTTGTTTAGGGATGATTCCTGGAGGTAAAGGGGACCTCCCATACATAATTTCAAAAGGGGAGAGGTTTGAATGTTTCTTTGGGAGGACCCTGAGTCTAAACAAAGCTAGGGGTAAAAGGCG